CAGGAACTTGTATCTCCTGGCGATCATGCAGATACCGAAACTTTCTGGTTTGATGGCACATCTCTATGTTGGAGCATATCCTGCTCAATTTTCCTTCTGAAACCTTCAAAACATTTGCATCTTGGACTATATAATTTTTTCTCTTGAAGTTCACGTGATGATTTTGAAAAATCAAAGAGATATGGAAATTGATACATTTATGCAGTTCATTGCCTTCATTTGAACATCTAAAACGATATTGTGCTTGCGATTGTTTTGCCTTTCCTTATAGTTCCTCTGATATATTGCTGCCATTAAGGTAATTCTCAGACAATGCACTTAAATTTTTCCTTCTGATGTATCACAAAGAGGAGATTTATAATTATAGATTGTCATAGTGGAACTGCTGCTATTGATTTGTAAGCTAATTTGTTTGTGTCCTATCACAGATGATTTCTGAGTCATATAAATCGTGATATTTAGGTATACCTTATATTGGACTTGCTTGTGGTAAATGTATAAATGTGGTGGATTGTATTAGATAATTACTGCCTGCTTGAAAGCAATCATTAGTAGCTCAGCATTATGTGTTATGTCTGAGACTTGTTTTGCTTGCAGGTTGTTGGGGAAGTAAATGCTGTGAAAAAGGCTGTAGAAATTATTTCCTCACGCTTGAGGGAGAGCCAGCATCGTGATCGGGGTCACTTTCCTGGTCGGCCACATTCTCCTGAACGGTTTCTCCCTCCTGATGACGAATTTATTCCCCACATGAACAGTACAGCTCGCAGGCTGTCTGAAAATGGGTCTGCTTTTGGATCAAGGCTTCCTGCTGGTATGAGTGGTGGTCGAAGCAATAACTATTCCTCATCCTCATCTGGATATGCCATTGAATCTGGAATCGCTCCCAACAATGATAATGGGCAGGTCATGTACGTTGAAGATCTTGTGTTCCGAATTCTATGTCCAGTTGACAAGGTTGATACTGTTGCTGGGGAATCAGATGGAATTATAGAGTTGCTTCAGAATGAGATTGGTGTGGATGTGAAGATTTTGAATCCTGTTGCCGGCTCAGATGAACAGGTCATAATCATTTCATCTGATGAGGTACTCCCTCTACTCTTTGTTGTCCAGGTCTCAGTAAGTTATTGCCGTTTATTTACTATGAAAGTTCTAATTTGAGTTTTTTGTTTTCTAGAATGGGATTCCATTAACTTTGTTCTTTTTAGCCTCATATATGAAATTTGTTACACCCTATACCTCATAAAATGATATTTCTAGGATGCTGCTTAAAAGGTTCTGAAAGATATCTGGTGTTGACGTTTGTCTTTTAGGGTCCAGATGATGAGCTGTTTCCTGCTCAGGAAGCTCTTTTGCATATTCAAACCCGCATTGTTGATCTTGTTCCGGAGAAGGAAAATGTTATTACAACTCGTTTAGTTGTGCAAACAGATGAAGTTGAATGTTTGGGAGGAAGAGATGGACTATTATCTGATATGCAGAAAATAACTGGTGCTACTGTCAAGATTCTACCAAAGGAAGAACTTCCACCATGTGTGTCAAGGACTGATGAAGTTATACAGGTCTGTCAATTTTCTTTTAAGCTTCTAATATGAGGATAAAAAGGTAGCTCATTTGATTTTCATGTTCTTTAGTTGATATGTGTACCAGAGGTGGTGCATATTTGGGCAGTGCATTCCTTTTGCAAGTTACACAGAGTGTGCAGCAAGGGGAATGTTGTCTCTGAAATTTTATCAGCTCCTACTAATTTTCCTAAATGTTATGGTCATAGTATAAATTCTTGGTTGTTGCGTATAAGTTTATTTAAAAGAATTCAAATCATTGGATAGAGTAGTCTGGGCTCCAATTGTTGGGCTTATGTTTTTTCTGGACATGCTATGTAATTCTTCATATTTCCAGATTGTTGGAGAGATCAAAGCAGCTAGAGAAGCTCTTGTTGAAGTGACATCGAGGCTTCGGAGTTTTACTTATCGGAATTTCTTTCAAAAGGATATACCCTCACCAGCAATACCTGCATCAAGCCCTGCTAGGAGTACTATTGGAGCAGACAAAAATTCTTTCAATAACACATCTCCATCTCAACAAAACTACAGTGTGAATGACGTTCCAACTTCAATCTATCAAAATACACCAGCCAAACCAATCTCACAGCCAGTAAAAGTGAGTTAATTTCTTTTCTTGCTTGTTTCCGGATGAGTCTAAATTTTCTAATCCCCAGTCTTTAATGTGACATCCTAATGAGCTGGAAAGTTAGTATGCCAAATAGTCATAGTTGTCTCAGAGAAATTTCAAGTTAGCAGGATAGCCTGGATTAATGAACCCTTGCTATATTTCCTAAAAAGGTGTTTATTTTGTAGGAAACTGGGGCATCTGCCAGTGAAATAACCAAGCAAAATGAAAGTGAGCGTCGTGAAGATATTCCGAGCGGATTGAATAGGTAACAGTTTTCTATTTTATCTTAAACCATGTTAGTTTGCTGTCTTTGAACCTAACTTTCTCTTTTTCCAGAATGCATGTAACATTGGTCACTAGAAGTATTTTGGAAGTTGTCATACCTCCACATGCAGCGCCCAAACTGATAACAAAATCAAGAAATAAGCTTGCTCAGATTAGTGAGGTCAGTTTGGCTTCTTCAATGCACCCACTTCATTTCAAAATTACATTTGGCTAAAGCAAGTGACACAGTTATATTGTTTTTATTGCTGACAGTTGTCAGGAGCAAATGTTAAATTGATTGAGGATAGGCCTGAGGTAACAGATAAGATCATACAGATATCAGGCACTCCGGAGCAAGCAGAGAGAGCTCAAAGCCTGCTTCAAGGATTTATTTTAAGCAGTAAGTATCTTTATTCTCTGTTCAGGTCGACCCTGAAATTGGGAGTTAAGAGAACAAAAAAGAGTGTGCTAGTACAAGTAATCTAATTCTTTGCTTCATTATTCAGCTCTAGAAGATGGCCCCTGAAACGCTGTGACAAGTTTGCGTGGCAAGTAATGCTCCAAGCCTGGAGGTGCCTTGCAATTTTCCTTTGTAGGCCGACTTCCCTAAAAGTGTCCGCTATAGTAGGGTATCCTAGGCCATCGCGAGGCACTGACAAGTAAGAATGTACAATATAAATCGGTGCATATCGTTATATGTAATGCTTAATACCTCAAATTGTTGTGTTGTATTTGGAATGTACTATCAACAGTCCTGCACTGTACAAGAATGTAGTTAAGCCTTTGTGCAAACTCAGGCTGGTGCTTATTTTTTCACAAAAAGGGAATGCCTTTTCTTTTTTGTTCCTCTTTTCTCTTTATATTGTACCTTTGTGACGCGCAGGAGGTGGGGAGCAAACAGCATCCTTTACGTTGTGTGAGCTTCAAACATGCAAAACTTGTTCTGTGGGGAGTGGCTGTTGATAACCTCAGCCTCCTCCCTAACGGAACCCTCTTTTGCCCCCCCACCTAAGAAATTCTGCATCTGTACAGTATGCTACTATGCCAGTCTCTGTATGGACGAAGAATGCATTCGTTTTCAGTGGTGTAAAATAATCTGTCATGTTTGAGTTGATGGCTTGTGAGTTACATGGAACTTACTAGCCCAAGAGAAAGATGTGTTTGGTATTTGATGCGAGTCATACCGAATATTTTTGTCTAGTATAGGCTGCGTTAGCCTAGTGAACTGGACAGATTTTATCTGAGATGAAGGGAAATACGTTGATATGACTGGTAAAGTTGTATAAGTTCGAGCCGTGACTGGTAAAGTTGTATAAGTTTGAGCCGTAAGAAACATAAGATTTCTTGTGGTTCAACTCTTCCTCGGATATGTACATAGCGGGAACTTAGTGTGATGCTTTTTTCTTTTGAATGACGCTTCTCTTTTTCTTCTTCCAAAGCAAATTTTGGCATGCTTTACGATGCAAAGATCTAGTACCAATCTATTTAATAAATATTGTAAGCTGAACGGTAGTGTCAGTTAATATTTTGTAGGAGTTACGAAGTGTTTATTATGCTTCTTTATTTGTGTAGACTAACGGTTATGCATAATTCATAATAGTTTTTACGTAGGTTAAATATATAAATTTCATTTTAAAAGAATTGAAGATTTCACGCGTTAATTTTCTATTAAACTTAAATTGTTTTATTTTCAAAATATAAAATGTGTCATATAAATTGAAATAGATGGAGTAAAAAAATATTTGAGCTTTGGTGGAACATATGTCCCAATGGCATTGGGATTTTTTGAACGAACCTATTTTATGAAGTAAAGATAAGGCAAGAAATAAGACATATACTCGTAAAGAAGTAGAAAATCATGAATTCAAAATTGTTTATTTTGAACTTTACTCTTTTTAGTGTTTATTTTCTGTTTAGAACTTAAATATCAATAATTTTTTTTGATGGATGATGAGCAACTTATAAGGTTATAACTAAGCTCCAAGGCTGACGATACATTTAAATAAAAAAATGAATGAAGGGCACAACCCAATAAGAAAAATAGTGACCAATAAAAAAATATTAGAATAACTATTAGATTTATGTGTTTCTCCAAGAACCATGAAAATAAAAATGAACGAAGGCGCAAATCAATAAGAAAAACAGTGACCAATAAAAAAATACTTCTTACATAAGAACTATTAGATGTTGAAACACAAAGTGTGGTGAATTAAATTTTTTTATCCAATTTATAAAGAGAGAAATTAAGTACATGAAAGATTTGTGCATGAATGTGTTTAACGGTAGAAACTAATAAGTTTTAACAATCAAATTCATTAAGAAATGAAAAATGATAAGTTTTGACATCTAATCATGTATTTAATTGTTATTATTGATTTAATTTTAAAAATTAGTAAAAAAACTTTTAATTTTAAAAATTGATAAAGAATATTTTCGTAATCTAATTTTGAATTTAAAATATTCCCACCCCACCATAGTTTCGAGTATTATTATCTAGATTTGTATGTTATACAAAATTAGTATTGTTCTTTTGTAGCAATAAGGGTGATTAATAATGCTAATTATGAAAATTTGCGTTTAATTAATTAGAAAACCCAGATAGAATCGCATATTTGTGGATAATCTCTCTGCCTCCCTCATTTTCTCCCGTGTCTCTGCTGCTGCAAACTGCAAATGTCAACTTCTCTGCTCCGTTCAACTCCTTCGCAACTCACCAACTCCGGCAGGTAACCTAACCCGTTCCGTCAATTCCATTTCGAACTTTCAATTTTTTTTACTAGCGTAGTGTTCGGGCCAGCTTTTTTGGTAAATTAATGAGTATATTTGTTTTGTGGGTTTGCATATTTCAGGATGAATCTTATAAGTTCAAATACCCATTTAGGCATATTGTCCGTCTCCTTTTATCACCGTCCCTCTCAAAGTTGCAATATCAAGCTTTGTTTTTCCACCAGTGGGTTGTGTTCACGTCTTGGCACGAGGTGCTGTGTTGTCTCGGCTACCTCATCCAAGTTGCACGAAAACAAAGGAATTGATTCAAGTATTGATTCTCAAAGGTATGGGCTTTGCTTCTTGTTAAATGCAGATTTATTCACATTTTGATAGTTATATTGTTTTTCTTGTGATAGAAGAAATGATTGTTGAGTACCCTAGCATGATAGAATTAGCAAAAAATCACGTTTCATTCCCTAGGCACTAAATATGAAGCTAGTTTTGTGCTTTTTAAAAAATAAGTGAATACAATTAGAAGTAGTTCTTCATAACGGTATTCATCAATGGAATTAGTAGCATTTTGACAGAATTGTATTTAGGTTGTTACTAACAGATAGTTTATGAAAAAAAAAGAAAACAACTAAAAATTATCGGTCTCATCACCCATTAATGTACATAGGGCAAATTTTAATTGTTGTTAGAACTTTACCGTATAAAGAAATTGCTATCTAGATGGAAGAGAATAGAAAAAAAAGAAGAAAATTTGATGAGGAAAGACAGAGAACTAAAGACTTGAAGATTGAGTGGGAGTGTAGGCATGAAATCAGATCTTTTTATTTTTTCTGATGAAAGGCTCCAACAAAACTCACCTCATATCATCTCAAGCGGAGGATATGTCAATATAATGACTTCCATTGAGTTTCACATCTTCTAAATCTTAGTATTTAGAATCACTGCAAGGGCTTTTGAGAAGTAAGGGTCAATACTACTTAAGGGATTTTTAGGTTGAATACAGTTAATCGTGTTTTTTTAACACTCCATTGACACAAAAACTATTAGGCAAGCTTGGGGTGTTTGGGGTTGGGCATTCCAAGCTTATCCCCAGATAATTGAGGCACATGTCTCATGAGGCAACTCAGGGAAGCACCTCATTACGTCTGACTCGTGACATTTTAGGGTGATGCAAATTCCTGAAATGTCTTATTATTCTAGCCGTACTAAGTATGCTACTTTGAGTTAGTATTACAATCTAGTTTTGTAGAATTGTTGACAATTTTATCAATAGGGCATTCAACTATTTCAATATTCTTCTCTTCAATCTAGAATTTAAGAGGATAATATTATTTATTCTATTTGACTCATGGTAAACATTAATTGTGAGGATGTAGATAATACAAAGTCTGGCACAGATAACCAGAAGATCTGAAAGCTGAAACATTTTATAAGCTGTTATATTTTGTTAAGTAATGACACATCTGTTATTTTGGTGCTTAACTCATTGTGGAAGATCCGATTGGTATATCACCTTTAAGCACCTATTTGACATCAATTTAGCTCCATCATTGTTTCTGCAAAAGGGCACTTGTGAAGAGGTGTAATGATTTCCTTCAGATGGAGGATAATCTACCAGCGTTATCTGAGTTTGATGCTCCCATTAGTTGGTGGAATATATTAGCTGTCCTTTAACGTAGACTATCTCCTTCAAAAAATTCGCGATGAATTTTAAACATTTCAATAGTTTAACTGTTTAAGAGTGCATAGATTTAGGAGACTTATGTAGTATAACCATTCAGAACTACAATGTCACCATGTGTTTTCAGCAGGTATACAGATTTAAAGGACGACATGGCTAGCAGCCTCAGTATTCTTGAGGAGCAGCTGAGGGACTTATTTAATGAAGTCCATGCCATGATAAGAATAGGGAAGGAAAATGAGGCCAGAGATCTGCTTCTAGCAAATTTTGAAGCTGTCAAAGAACAGATTGATGCAGGCCTCAAGGGTATAGAAGAAGCAGCTATTCTTGATGTAACAGCCTTGGGGTACATGGCCCTTGGAGACATAAGGACTGTCAAACCCCTGTTGGATGTGGTAATTTTTTCCCTTGTCATATATGCTAATTCCTGATTCTAGTCTTTCTGTATCATCAATCCATGAAAGGATAAAGTGACCTTTCAATGGCACATACATAAGCTGCAAAAATTATTTAGGAGAACCAGAGCACGGAGACATAATTTCAAACATTTTCTTTTGAAGTTCCAACTCCAATTTTCTCCGTGAAGAAAAAATCATTTATTGACATAAGAACTTTCCCTTTTCAAGTAATAGTATAACTTTATTGTTTTAGAGTTCATACTTGTCCTCATTTTAGTCACCCTTTTCTGTATATTGGTGGGCTGCATGATGTACTGACAGTTGAGCGAGGTTGTTGATGACTTGAAAGATGAGGAGCCTCTTCTGGACTCGATACTCACTCATATGGGTAATATGTATGAAAAGTTGGAAAATTTTGAGATGTCCATTTGTGTGTATGAAAGAGCTGTCAAAGTTGTTGAGAGACTATATGGTAAGTCAGATTCTTTTTTCACTTTATAGTTGTTGCTTATTTACGTCTGGATATATTTGTGTGAGATGGTGGTGCTGCTCATTTTCTTAAAATAGAATTCTATCTCATTTACTATGGGATTGGATTTGGTTTTCCATTACTGTTTAGAGAAAATGATTCGGTTGTTTGGTAAAATCTGTAAATTTGTGACTTTCTTAACTGTTATCAAGCCACTGCTTCTTTTTCTATATGGCTGAAAGCGGTTTAGTGACACGTCTATTTTACATTACAGGAAATACCAGTTCTTTTGTCGTCACTCCATTGTTAGGGATGGCAAAAGTTTTGGGTTCTACTGGAAAGACCAAAAAAGCAATAGAAACATATCAACGCGTAGTGAAAATTCTTGAATCTAGCAGGGGTGAAGAAAGTGAGGAACTGGTAGTGCCTTTATTTGGCATGGGCAATCTTCTTCTGAAGGAAAGGAGAGTGACTGATGCAGAAAATGCTTTTAACAGGTGATCACTGTTCTTTCATGTATCTTGCTTCGTTACCATTTCGTGTCTGTAGTCACCAATACTAACTTGTTTTTCCCTTTTCTTTTCATATGATATAGAATTTTGACCACGTACATGAAGTTATATGGAGAAAATGATGGCAGAGTTGGACTGTCCATGAGTTATCTTGCACGTGTGAAATGTGCAAAAGGTGAATATAATGATTTTCCTACTTGTGGCGGATCAATTTTTTCTTACTTTGTCGGATCAATTTTTTCTTACTTTGTTGTTCCTGGTGTCACATAATCTTCTCCTTGTCTATGGTTGCCATTACTCAAGTAATGAAGCAAGTAATGAAAAGGTTGATAGTGAAGTAACCTGCCCAAAAGCAACACAAGATAGGACTAATGCTTGAAGAGCTAAGTAAATTTGAATAACTAATGGTGAACTTGACATTCTTGTGTTCCAAAGATTCCAGTTGCTTGTAAGTTGTAACTTTCAGCTTCCTGCAAGTTCTAGATTATAATGAACTGGTTTTCATTCCAAAAGTAGGAGGATTACAAATTGTGATGCTTTCTATGCTCCGTGTCCATTAAATTATTCCTGTTTTGACAATTGCTCCAATAAAGGGTACTGTTTTCATATGTGCGTGCTTTACAGGAGATGTGAATGAAGCCATTGATCTGTATAAAGAGGCTCTTTGCAGGCTGAAGGTTTCTGATTATATAGCCATAGATGATCACATAATGGAGAAGATGAGGGTAGACTTGGCTGAATTACTTCATGCAGTTGGAAGGTGAGGATCATGTTTTAATTAAGCATAGGGTTAGTTACATAAACATCCTTGACCTTCTTAACAAAAACTTTTCTCTCATAAACTTACTCGATTTTTGCAACAAAGGCACATAATTTCCTGTGATTATTAAAATTATGGGATCAGTCCCATATCTAAATTGTTTGATACGTACTTTTCATCACGTCAATGTATTCTAAAACTTTAACGAGTTACAAATTTTGGCGTTCTTCAAATAAATTCCAACTTACCATCTATATATTTTTTAAAATCCCTTTTTGTTGCATTTAGTAAAGTTGTTTCCTGTTTACTACTCAGCAACCTTTCCTTGAAAACTAAAATCAGATGAACTCTTTTATTTCTTTACTTTCCGTTTTTGATTTTTTTTATATTAAGTTACTTGCCCTTATGACTTAAGTTAGACTAAATTAATGCGCTCAAGAATTGTTAGCTACTTCCATTAAGAAGATATGAAGCATGGAAATAAAAATAGATAGAACTTTTCACAACTTAATTATATGAAATAATTTAAGGGTTTGGCTGAGTGTGTGTGTGGCTTTTAGTTTAAGAGGGTCTTTAGGTCCTTTACATGATTTTCTTCCCTTCGATTAATCAAGTAGAATATTACTTATGGTAAATGTACTTTTTCCAAACCCTTTTTAAAAAGAAGAATTCCGTTACATTTTGATACATTACAACCGATTCTGAAAAGGCTTTCACTTTTCAATACTCAGATATCAGTTTTTATAGAATAATATAAAATAGGGGCAAATTGTTCTTAAGAATTAAACTGTGCAAACCTTAAGCTTCTTTGTAGGGCTTTGTTCTTTGAGTACTGCTTTAACACTCATTTATCTTTCAGAGGTGAAGAAGGCCGTATGCTACTGGAGGAGTGCTTGTTGATAACTGAGAAGTTCAGGGGTGAAGGGCATCCCAGTTCAGTCTCTCATCTTGTGAATCTAGCCACTTCTTATTCACAGTCCAAACTTTTTGCAGAAGCTGAGCGCTTGCTAAGGATGAGTTTGCAGATTATGTATCAGAATGTTTCACCTGATGATCAATCCATTACTTTCCCAATGCTACATCTTGCAGTTACTCTCTACAATCTAAACCGTAATGAGGAGGCCGAAAAACACGCATTAGAGGTTCTGCGAATCCGGGAGAGGGCATTTGGAGAAGATTCTCTACCAGTTGGTGAGCTTGTCCTTTTCCCTATTGCTTTATGCTAAATGCTAAGCAGTATCTTTTGATCTGTTAGTAAAAAATGTTTGCCATCAATATGTTTGCAAGCTGTTTCACCATTCATGTACTATTTGCTTACCCTCTTTATCTTTATCAAACAAAAAAAGAAGTAACTGGTTTGGTGTTTTCAGGTTCTTTTCTTTCATCTCTCCCCTTTTGGCTAAAGAGTTTATGTATGCAGGGGAGGCTCTTGACTGTTTGGTCTCCATTCAGACCCAGCTGGGGAAGGATGATGGTGAATTGCTGGAGTTGCTCAAGAGAGTACTGAAAATTCAAGAGAAAGCTTTCGGTACTGACAGTGAGGAAGTCATGGAAACACTTAAAAAAGTTGTATATTACTTGGAGAAGATGGGGAGGAAACATGAGGGACTCCCTCTGGAAAGAAGATTATCAAAGCTCCGAACGAAATTTAAGCAAATGGTTCAATATTAAAGATCCTACAAGGCCGCATGTTTGACATGTAATTATTTTCATGCTATTAACAGTTCAGATCATTGTGGTTGCAAGATAAAAATGTCCTTCTACAGGGAGTTCGCATGCCACAAAAGGAAAAGAGACACTGGACTATAGCACAAGACCGGGTTTCTTCCTGCCATGGTGGACAAGGAAGACAGCCAAAACTAACAAATTTTCAGGCATATGAAAGAAATTCTTTTTAGCTATATCTATCCAAGAGTGTAGTGATATTTCAGAGAACATTCAGAACCAGATATGAAAAGCTTAGGGGACAGTTACCGTCAAATGAATACTACCAAAGGTATCATATAGGTTCTTGATGCATTGTCTGAAAGTGTTAAAAGAGCCTTGCTTACCATCACTAATCCTGCTACTGCTTCTCTTCTTATAGGTGTGGAATTGCATTGGACATGTCGAACCAAATGGGACGGTGTCCACATTCCAACTACTATCTGATTGACTACAATGTACAATGTAGTTGAACACTGGAAAGTGATAGCAAGCCTGATCATCTTTTGGCAATGAAAAATGTCACTGGTGATTCCTTTCGACTCTCTTTACATGAGATAGTGACATTGATGTACTTAGTTGAAATAACATCGGTCGTGTATACAGAATGTTCAGAGTACAGCTGCAAGTCTGCAAGGTAACTTGTCAATCTGAAGGTTGAAGAAGCACATGCTCTTTTGGACTTGGAGTAGAAACTCAGATGGTGCTCTGTAGAAAGCCTGCAACATAACTGGCTAATCTGAAGGTTGACGACGCATATGCTCTTTCTTGTCAATGTGAATGTTGTAAGAATAGAAAGAAGACATCATTGAACCTACATTTACTGATGATTTCTAAAGGTAAATACGTACATTTTGCAGTACCCAATGTCCAGATTCTTGAAGTTCATTGTAATTGAGCTATTCTTATTTTGGAACTGAATTATCAAGTTAAATTGATTGTAACAGAAATATAGTGAATCATATTCTTTTAAAAAAGACATTTTGTTGATTTTATCATTATATTTGGAATACTATCTATCTCCTAAATTATATCAATTTTTAAATCAAATAGTTTAATTATTCAAGTAAAATTTCGTTTACTACCAAAAAGCCTAATTGAGAACGTTGAAAAATCTTATGCTGACTTCAGAGAAAAGTCTGCAGTAGAAAGACCAAAGCAGGGCCCCTCTTAATCTAGGAAGTTTCCTTTTTGGAATTTTGGTCATATCCGCTAAGGACTGATTAAATCAAATTCATATGTCGTACAATATATTAATCAGGAAAAAAAAATTATGTCAAGATTTTATATGAAATATCTCACAATAATACTCGATGATAATTTAAAAATTAGATACGGGGGACATTGAAGAAACTTTGGAAAAATTACTTCGGATTGATACCTTTAAAAAAAATAATTACTAATTTTAGCGATACTTTTTATTTATTACCGTTTATAGCAATACTATATTAAATCTGCAATATGTATTAAAAATAAATTATATATACAATAAATATGTATTATAACTGTTTTTAAAAATATATTATGCTTGTTTCATAAGAAATTGAAACATTGCATTATAAGTGTATTAAAATGTGTGATAAATATATTAATCATCAATAAAACTTGTATTATATGGAAATAAAAAATTGTTCTCTGTAATATATATTAAAACAATGTTATAAATATATTAAAAGTTGATTAAGTAAAAAAAATATATTACTATAAGTGAGAAATATATTTTCTTAATATAATATATTTACGTAAGTTCCGCGAGAAACTTGGGGATATAATAACGCATTTACTAGAGACTAAGGTGGTGGAGAAATTGGTGTTTTATTATTTTTAATTAATACTAGAGACTAGAATTATGCTTGTACATAAGATCTTTTCATTTTACTTAAATGTAAAATATAAGATAGAGAAAAAAATTGTAGGAATTTTATAACTTGTCTTGGGTAAAAGGGATAGAGTTGCTTAAAAGAATAGGATGTGTTATTTATATTGATATTGTAAATATATTTTTATCAATTACTAATACTTATAATTATATTGAACATCTTTGCCTGTGTTAGCAAGGGTCAATATTTATTATTTTTTGTCTTATTTTATGTGACACAGATAAAATTTAAAGAATCAATTAAATTTTAAATTTTTCTAAATACTTTAAGTTATTAATTGTTATAATTTATAGTATCTTTACGTAATTTTAAATAATGTGTTATTTTATTTGTCCCAATATATGTGGAAGAAATAGAATTTCAAGAGTCAATATGTTGTTGATTATAGCGTGGAACCACACATGTGAAGCAGACATGTTGGCTGTCTCCTGTGTTGTTGAGATTGAATAACTAAAATATGAATAAGAAATATGTTTACGCATACGAAATGTCAAAAGCCTTGAATCAACAAATAAGTTGAAATTAATTAAAGACCTCTACTAATTAAAACACAATTTTTAAGAAGAAAATATCGTAAATCAATTAGTAGATGTAGAGGTCTTTAATTATAAAAAATAATACTCCCTCCTTCCGCTATTAATTGTTATACTTTTCATTTTTAAAGTCAAATTATAAAAACTTTGACTAATATTTTTTAATATACTTTTTCATCATACTGATATGTAAAAAATTGCAATATAATTTTTGAGTATCTAAACTTTTTGTTTATTATATCAAATTAATATAATTTAATTTAACTTTGAAAATTAATCAAATTGACTTTCGAAAAATGTAATATCACGTATAAAAAAGTTGAAATTAAAACAGAAATAAAAAGTGACGTTGGCAAGGTTTGAATCCTAGACCTTAGGGTTTGAAATGTCAAGCCTAACCCAATGCCAAATATCTGGTTAAAAAATAGACACACCGCTGAAGCACACAGGATCATTAGTTGTGTGCTTATTGCCACTTAGTAGACAAGTTATAAAAATTTTGACTAATATTTTTTAATATGCTTTTTCATCATAATGGTATACAAAAATTGCAGTGTAGTTTTGAGTATTTAAATTTTTTGTTTCAAATATTAAATTAATATAATATAATTTAACTTTAAAAATTAATCAAAATCGACTTTCGAAAAATGTAATATGACAAATTAAAAAATTGAAATTAAAACGGAAATAAAAAGTGATGTTGGCAAGGTTTGAACCCTCGACCATAGGGTTGAAATGTCTCAACCCTAATCCAATGCCAAATAGCTGGTTATAAAAATAAGCACACAGCTGAAGCACACATGTTGACCATCAGCTGTGTAGTTATCGCCACTTACAAATAAGAAGTACAAGAAGATATGTCATTATTACCTTGAAAATAATAGGATGACTAAATACATTTTTTCTCACCGTCAATACGTAAAATTTGAATCTCAAAATTAATTCAAAATTACATCAAAGTTACATGAAAGGATAAATTATAAATGAATAGTTCGTTTCTCTTTTTAACTAACACCTAAAGATTTGAATTCTGTATTTTAAATATAGTGATCGGACCCCAAATAGAAAAAAAAAATTAATTGGTAGTTAATAGTGACACTGAATTTGATAAAAATCCCTTGTAAGACGTTGAATATAAAAATGGATATTTTAGAATGAAGAATACTGTATTTCTTTCCTTCGAAGCATCTCCATGATTATCCAACAGGTACTTTCTTTCTTTCACTTATTTCTTCAACTGTCCATTATACTCTCTTCTACTTGCCTTTTTTTTATTGTTCATAGAATTTAAAAACTGTTTTTTTTTCTGATTTGAACAAGACTGACTGTTATTTATGCATAACTAGATAAAGGGTGTTTGGTAATTTTGATTTTAGCATATAGAGAGTCCATGAACTGAAAAAAAATTGAATCTTTCTTGGTGGGGGTGTGATGGAAAGGGGTTTTTTCCGGGTGGGGTTTTTTTTAGTTAGTGATTATATATGATTATTGGAAGGTGTAAAGTAAAGATGATTATAGGTGTTAGTTGATTATAGGTTTATGATTCCTTTCAAGATTTAAGTTGTAGAAAAAACTCTAAAAGGGGTACAGTAATGGTGCAAATCATAGTTTGTGATGCGTTGACTGGGGAGCTAAGCTGTGTGGAGTCCGTTTCTCTTGATTTTTATGTTGTTTCCTTAGCTGGTTTGATTTGATTTTTGTGGATAAAATTTTGCTAGTTCTGTTTTTTTGTTTTTTTTTTGTTTTGTGTGAATTTGATTTCATGTCTAGAGGGGACATGACACAACTCCAACTTACCAGGACATGACTCTAGATAGATAGGAAGGTTTGGAATGTTACAAGATTTAGATAGAAGGTTAGTGATTAGTTGAGTGTTATTGCACTCTATGTGGGAGTGGTAGTAGGGGCTATTTAGTAGTCATTTAAACTCTTGTTCTATAATGTGTATTAGTATGTGTCGCTTCATTCATTTGCTTTGTATTTGCTATTTTACTGGCATACTTTTGTGATACATTGCTTCAATGACTTTTTTGTTGAGTTGAGGGAATGCCGGAAACAATCTCTCTACCTCACAAAAGGTAGGGGTAAGGTAATGCATCCTAACCTCCCTAGACCCCATTTGTGGGGCAGTTGCGAAAACTTCAGTTGATAAGTCAAAGCTTTTTCTGATGCTTAATTTAAATTTTGGTTTATAATTAACCAAGCCATATTCCAAAACCTTAATGTTTTATAATTTATTTCTTCTCGATGCTTGGTTTTAACCCGTATTCACCTTGTTGCTGATATGGTTATATCCTGCTATTGCTTATTCAGGATAACAAGGATCATACGGTAAAAGGCTGCAAAGATGGGGATCATATGAGAGTGAACTGTCAACCCGTTCCTCTCTAGAAAGAAAGAGATAGCTCTAACATTCTCTCTGTTCCTAATGTCTTCAGCACAAATAAGGTTCAACCACAATTCTAGAAATTCAAAAAGAGGGTCACAGGATCTTTTGGGCGGCAAGGATTTTGAACTTCATGAGTGTGAGAAAGATAATTCACATGAACCTTTAAGTATGTTAGAGTCAGAGCTCAAAGTTTTGAGCGCAGAGAGTGTTCATGTTCTGAAATTATGCGGAGGAAACCAATTAATTGAGGAGTTCTATTCTCAAACATATTGTGATGATGTTGAAAAGCTAGACCACCACCTCAAAGGCTACAATCCCTCTGCATATAGTTACAAAGATAGCCAATTGCACATGCTCCAAAATGTTGTAGGCGATGGCTCCCAGAGAAAACCAATAAATACAGATTCCGGAGGATTTATGGAACTTGATTATTACATGGACCTAGACCCTGGACAAACTAAGAAGGCTTGTTCTGAACTGGATTCTGAATGGATTGGAGTTCAGAAGGCTCAACCATGGTGGCGCACAGCTGATAAGGAATTAGCTGCCTCAGGTTCTCCCAAGTCATCTGAATGTATCACGTATTCTGAGCATTCATGGCGTGAGCCTTTGAGAAGTGAGTCATATAACTGTTCTAACCAGGTTAGTATGATAGAAAAGGAATCTCTGGTTACTCCTGATTATTGTCCAAGACAACATCCTTCACAAAGCCAACAGAAGATATTGTGTGTTGGCAAAGGGTGCTTATCACGTCGTTCAGGACAGCCAGTAAGGTATTTATCCAACTACAACTAGCTACTATCATTTCTGGTTGAAGTGCTAGCTACTAGCTTTCTCCACCACACTGTTCTTTTTAACATATTTTTGTTCACCAATTTTACATGACCTGGTAAGACTTCTTCCGAGGTTGAAAAAATGTTTGAAGAAGTTATTGTGTGAGTTATAATGGTTAAAAGATGTGAAAAGGTACTATGACATCATGTCGAATTCAAAATAATTTTAAGTAGCATTACTATATACTAATATGACTTTTTGGGTTTTACTACTGCCTTTTCCTTTTAAGAAAAGAAATAATAGTGTTAGGATGGAGGGGGTTATTACAATAGAGTAGACTTACTTAGTTCGTTGATCTTGTAACAAGATGCAGCACATGAAAGAAGAAGTGGAAGCAAGTTTCCTCCACCGTATGAAGGAGAGAAAAGGAAAAACTTTTTTTCTTCTTTGTAAAATAAAAGAGAATCTATTATAGGCCTTAAATATGGATTTGCACGGTTTTAAGGATATTCAGGTAGTAAATTAGTACTGTAATGTGGATCAGTAACTTAAAGTCTCTATGCCCTCAATTCGTTGAAATTTCATTGACACGAATGCAGGTGAGTCACTCTTTTTCTCTTAGAAGTATTCTCTCAGCCAAATTAATTTTCTTTTCTCTTGTCTGTACAAAAGAGACTGAGGAAAAGAAAAAAAGACAGACTGCTCTTTCCCTCCCGGAGAGTGATAAAACATATCTCTTATAGTTACTCGGTCTTTTTTCTTCTTCCAGTATAACATTGCAGGATCTTTTCATTTTAAGTAAATGAATAAAGAATATCCTGGGGTCATGAAGTTATTGGTAGTTTTGAAGTTGTCTGTAATATTATGCAACTCCATAAACAATTGCATAAAATGTATTGTGGTTGACCTAGTTTCCTTCTCATCTTATTCTCTAATCATTAAGAACACTAACGTGTACTGTTCTAATTCCAGTGGTGATGACAATTTAAGTATTGCCAACGTCCTCTCATCAGAAACCCAACCAGGATCAAGCGATCTCAGCAAAACACAACTGTTAGAAGCACTGTGCTATTCTCAAACCCGTGCAAGAGAAGCTGAACAATTGGCACAGCAAGCATACAACGAAAAGGAGCATGTGATCAAGCTGTTGTTCAGGCAGGCTTCTCAGCTCTTTGCTTACCGGCAGTGGCTTCAAATTTTGCAGCTTGAAGCTCTGGTCCTCCAGCTCAGGAACAAAGATGAGCAAGATTCCATCAACTATTCAAATAGCTTCCCCGTTATCCCTTGCAAAGGACGGAAACTGAAGAAGTTTAGATATAATAAGCCTACTAAGAAGAAGACAAGAAAGGGAAAATTCAAGATAAACAAGTCTGCTGTAGCTTTTGCCTTGGGTTTGAGTCTTGCTGGTGCTGGTTTGTTACTTGGTTGGACCATGGGATGGCTATTTCCTGCCCTCTAAACCATCTTTCTGGTTCGCTTAGATTCACGTAGGTATGTTTCATGCGTTTTCTATCAGACCACGTCGAAGATATAATATTCTAGTAGATAGGATTGCATATTCTGTAAATATACAACTACTACGCATCAATCCCAAATGCATTTTGTAAATATTGTTGGGCTAAGGTCTTATATCATATGTAACCTCTGTGTGTTTTCATATCAGAATGCTTTGGAGATTATTTCAACAGGTTTGGGCTAGCTGTATATACTTTCTATGTTCGGATGATTAAAAAGTGAAATCTTTGTATGTTATATTTCCTTCGTTTCAATTTGCGTGGCACAATTTGAACTGAGTAGGGTATTTGATATCTATGTGATTATAAAAGTATACTATTAAGGGTCGATGAAAATTTATGTTCAAATTGTTTTCAATCATAGAATAACAATATTCTCTTTAAAATGGACTTACAAAAAATAATGACACAAATTTGTAGAGAGTGAATATCAATTAAGTCGTTTTATTCGATGTGTTATACTTGTTATAGTGAAATATAACAGAACGAATTAATTGTTATAGTAAAATATTATTATCGAATAAAACTATGTTTGAAATTCGATTTTTTTTATTCAAAGAGTGGATAAAGGTTGGTATTTTGTCCAGATGCAATTGTGTGTTTGCTGAATCAGCTTTTAACATCAAAACACTCTCAAATTTCCTCTCATCCACATGCTTCAGAGTTATGTTGGAACAAATTTGACCTCTAAAATTTAAATATCTTTATTTTTTTCAACTTTTATGGAAAAAAAACGTTAAAATATGTGTTACACGTGATGAAAAAGGAGGGAATAAATAAATTATTTACACAGAGCATTTAAAACGAGAAAAGATTGTCAAAGACTAACAATTACGTTGGAAATCAAATGATCACCATAAATTAAATTATTGTTCAACTACTACTACATCAATCCGTAAAATAAATAAATAATATTTTTAATATGTTATTCATATGTTTTATTTACTGTGAATTATGTTAATATATTAATTTTTTTTTCAATCTTTCTACGGATAATTTCTCTTCTAAGATGGATCATCAGAAATAATTTTTCTATTTATAGAGATAAAACTTATTTTACTATATTCTATTCTCCTCACACTTCACTTGCGAAATTACAATAGATATATTTATTATCGTAAATTTCACGATAATTCAAAATCAAAGGTTTTTTCTTTCACTACTTGTGATAGTATAAGAGTTATTTCATGCTTAACCAGAGATCTCGAGTTTGAGTGCCCCCAAATTCAAAGTCGCCTACAATGTGAATCTTTTCGCACAAATTTAATTTAATCAATTTTCAACATAAAACGAGCTAAATAAAAAACTTCCGTTTGACAAAGCGATTTCTTTGACTTTTGACTTTTTCCCAAGCTGAGCTGCTTAAAGCCGACCGTCCACACTAACTTTACCATCAAACCGTTACTTATCCGCCACGTGTACATTAGGCCCCACTTAACACCCAAAATTGATTTTTTTGAAATAAATAAAACCAAAACCGAGTAGCCTTAAAGATTGTCGATTTAAGGAACCCACATTTTTTCAAAAAAAATCCACTCTTGTTCTCAATTTTAATTTTCGTTTTCTTCTCCAATTTTGCTGTTTTTTTTTCTGAAAATTTTCGGTAAAGACTTGATTTTTATTCTTGGGAAAAGCGAAACATGCCTTTCTGTGAGGTGGGTAAATACCAGAATGGTGTAGATGCAAGTGGCAACAATGGAACCAAGATTTTTTACAAAACTTATGGCCAAGGCCCGGTCAAAGTTCTATTGATTATTGGTATTCTTCGTTTTTCTTGACATTTTTTCAATGTTTTTCCTATTTGGGTTTTCTTAATGTGGATTGAATTTTGGTTTTATTTGTTTATGAATGATGATTTAAAGGATTGGCTGGAACGCATAGTTCATGGGACCCACAGATCAAGGCGCTCGCCGGGACGATTACGCCGAATGATTCTGAATCGGCGGCCGGTGATCGGAGCTACGGTGAAGGTGGGGGTATGGAGGTTTGTGCTTTTGATAATCGTGGAATGGGGTTAAGCTCTGTGCCTACTAAAAAGTCAGAATATACGTAAGTCTCATTTACCGGAAACAATTTATTTGAGGAAAATTCTGATTGTGATGGAATAGAGTAAGAAAAAGTAAAACTTTTGTGATTATTGTAGAATATTTTTCACCTAATAAGAGCTAATTCAAGATATAATATAGTTGTTGTTGGTGGGGCTCCAATTAGATACTATATGAAAAGACCTTCAGCTACTTTTCTTGTATTTCTTAGCTAAGAACTAAGGTTAAGTAGTTAGCAGGTTAAATTGATGTCGAATGTTTGTTGGAGCAGGACTGGTATTATGGCTAAAGATGCAATTTCTATAATGGATCACTTGGGGTGGGAAAAAGCACACGTCTTTGGTCATTCCATGGGTGAGTTTCTGATTTTGTTCTTTTGGTTGGCGTTATTGATGATGATATGTCTTCAAGCATAAAATGTGCCGTATATAGTATTCCAGTTAAACTTTCAGATAGTAGTTTAGGCATTTCAAATTTTAGAAACTGATCATTGCGGTACAGCTGAACAACTTGTGTAAAATGTGGAACAAGATATTTGAGAATCAAGTTCATTCTTTTGCTGGGAAAATACTTATTTGATAACATTTTTGCTTACTTGGACTCTTTTCCAATCAATCAGGAGCTATGATTTCTTGCAAATTGGCTGCAATGGTGCCTGAGAGAGTTTTGTCTTTGGGTTTATTGAATGTCACGGGAGGAGGCTATGAATGTATTCCCAGGGTAAGATCCTCTCTTCAACTATTGGTCATTGGACATATTCTTCAAAGATTTTAGTGAATGGTTGAGCTATATCTGAAAATTGAATAACTGTTTTGGTGTTCCTATGCATTGCATACCCCTTCCAGGAAAGATATATGAAAATCAGCTCTTCATCAAAAAAGATATACAAAAATCAGCTTACTGAAAGTTAAAAAAATAGAAGATATTTCGGTAATTGAGGCCATTCTAGCATTTTTTTAAGATTTATAACATGGCATCAGTGATCATGTTATGAAAGCAGCAAGGTGGAATTTGGAAACTGCAAGCTCCCTTGAATTTGGTATGATGGTAAATGTGTGAAATGATATGTGTAGATTGCGCGCATTACAGGATTGAACCTTGTAGTAGACCAAAGTCTAATAATTAAGTGGAGAAAGTAGAGGTATTTAGTGCTTATAAGGTGATATTAGGTACAGAGTTATCCAAATAAAAATAAGGTGTGGTACATAATTATTAAGAATGTACCCATCTTGTCCATTTGTGAGTGTTCTCGACACTCTGTGTGTGTGTGTGAGAGGGAGAAAGAGAGAGAGAGAGAGATTACAGTCTGTGTATGAAAGGAGGGAATACTGTTCTTGTTCTTCTGTTGTAGCATATTCCATGTGGAGGGAAGTGGAAGTTTGTATGCTTAGATTGTTACATCACATATGAGATAAACACATATCACAACTATAGCTTTTGCTCTCCTTTGCTCTGGAAAAGCCGGGAATACTCAGCATTTTTCTCAAAGGGTGAGGAGAGACCCCTCTTAATCCAGTGAAATGCCGTAGGCCAGTCTGCTTCTTCAATAGGCGGTATGACCAGTTGATGGAGTTCTTCCTAATTCCACAATGTTTTTCTACTAGGTAGCATACAAGACCCGAACAATTTATCTGACAGATAAATAATAAAGTCATGTTTGCATAGTTAAAATGTACTATCTGGAAAGACATCTTTGTTTAACAATGACCTGAGCACTGAATGATGTTAGAAATTCATCTACTGATAAAACTGAAGGAAATTAGGTATGATGAAGATGAATATTACTGATCAAGGGATGGGTAGTAACATCATGCATGTGATTAAACAATATTATGCTGTCTCTTAAGCACAGAAACAATCCCGAAGAGTTATAGATGGCTGGGATGAGTCTGTTGAGATGATTCATGTGGTATAAGAAGAGAAAACAGTACTTCTCCAATGGAGTAATGGTGAAAACCAGTGTGTTTAATAGCTCTTATGGGAAAAATAAATTAAGAAAAAAAAGTACCTAGTTTGGTGGGTATCTATAAAGGGTTGAGCCGTTGAGTAATGCACCCATTGAAGAGTGAAAATTGGAAGATTGAAGGGACAACAATGAAAATGATTAATGTGGTCACTATATCTTAGTTTTGCTGTGGTGTAGGCTAAATATTTATACAACTCAACTGCACCCCAATTGATGATATAGGAATAGAAAAGGAAAGTCTAGTGCACAAAACATTCCGCATTAGCACAGGGGAAGGGGAAGGGCTGCACCCCCAAAGGATACGATATAGACAGCATACCCTAATGCAAGCATTAGTGGTTACTTCCACCGCTCAAATAAAATTTCAGGTTAAATTGGCCATGAATGTCTGAGTCATTTGAATTTATTTTAATTTAATATATTTATAAATTGATCCTAGCTTTTTGGAACTAAGACATAATTGATTGATGGTTTCGTACTAATGCTTTTCCATTATCAATAAAATTATATTACTTTACTTGATTAAAATAAAATAGTAACTGGCAACATCATGTGAGATGCACAATTTTTTTTGAACAGATACATGCTAGTTATGAATAAGACCCTGTAATTTTGATTAGTGCTAATTGTATCAAAAGATGCTAAACAAATTTATGTTATACCTCAAACACAATGCTTCCTCTGTCTGTTTCTCATTATATACTTGTACGGAATGAAGAGTTATTTTTGTTGATTCTAGTACTCATGTGATCTTTTTTTGCTGCAGCTCGATCGTCAAACTCTATCAATTGCTGTCCGGTTTTTGAAGGCAAAGACTCCTGAACAGAGGGCTGCTGTTGATTTAGACACCCATTATTCAAAGGTTGATTAATTGTTCATTTAATAATGTTGTAAATTATCACTTCCGTAGTTCCCCCCTACTGCAAAGTTGCATATACATGCCATCTATTGTTGTACAACATAAAATGTATCTAGATGGTTTCATGCGCATTACTTTTCGTACAGTTGCTGATTAGTTGGTTTATCATCACTCGATATAAATTCTAATCTTTCTCAAAAAAATGATATATATTCTAATCGGTGATAATATTTATCACGACTAGACGACTAGGGAGTGATATATGACTTAACATATTTGTGGTTTGTGCTTTGCAGGAATACCTCGAGGAAGATGTGGGAACTACAACCCGCAGAGCAGTATTATATCAAGTAGTCACCTAGATGTTTCTCAGGCCATCTTTTTTTTTCCCAACAAGACTTAAGGTGCTTACGTGTTTTCCCTCCCTCTTATTTTGGGCTGTGCCAGGAATACGTGAAAGGCATATCAGCATCGGGGATGCAGTCAAATTGTGGATTTGATGGACAGATAAATGCTTGTTGGACTCATAAGATATCACGGGCTGATCTGGAATCCATCTGCTCTGCTGGATTCCTAATATCTGTAATTCATGGCAGGTAAATGCATTATCCACTAGATCCAATCTCAAATTGCCAGATACATTATTTAGACATAAATCAACATTTTCTTCTGTGCAGGCATGATGTCATTGCTCAGTTAAGCCATGCAAAGAGGCTTGCGAAGAAGTTACATCCTTATTCTAGAATGGTAGAGCTTCCCGGAGGACATCTTGTTAGTCATGAAAGGACAGAAGAGGTATGGCTTTATATACTTATTATGCAAATACAGAATCATCCAGTAATACAAAACTTCATTCTGCATAGTTACCAAAAACAAAAAAGATGTACTAAGGGTGGAGGTCAAGAAAAGCATCCTAAGAACCTGGGGAGGGGTTACTCTTCTTGGTGGTCACAAATAGGCCCAATCAACTTTTTGGTAGTTACAAATAGGGAATTCAATATGCATAATATGTTATGAGATTCTCAAAGTTTTAGCACTCCTTGTGGCTTCAAATGATTTGTGTGGCTGTAGTTATATGTGTTTTGATTGTTATGGAAGAAGTATATGACAATTATTAAATATTCTAGGTCAATGACGCACTTCTTGAGTTGATCAAGGCATCCACGAGTAAGATAAGCCCGTATGACTGGACAAATTTGCCTATGAAAAGCTCTGGTAAGTATTACTCCCTCCGTCCCATTCTATGTGTCATCTTTTTACTTTGCACTTGCATTAAGAAATGATGTAGCTTTACCTTCTACCCTTATTTAATGTTTTCTTAAGTCAACTTTATAATAAATGGTGAATACATTTTCAAGATTTATTAACTAATCTATCAAGGGTATAATAGGCAAAATATGGTAATATGCATAAATTTTATAAAATGACAAGTATTGTGGTCCAACTATTTATAAAAAGGGATGACATATAAAATGGACGGAGGGAGTAACATCTGGTTTTCCTTATTCCTATTTTTTGTAGAAAGCGGCAGCATGAAACTAAGACTATTTGGAGGAACAAGATATAGAGGAATAATGTCTCTCTGTAGGATACATAAACTTCCATATATCACAAAGTCCTGTAATGTTTCATTTATTTATTGGTTAAGGTGCATTTCTCTAATAGTTGATTCTCTCTGTCAGGATGGAATACAACTCCACTTACAAGAAAAAGTTCTCGAGAAGGAAGTAGATCATCTGTCCTGGCCGACATTGTAGAAAGGCTACAGATGTTCTTGTTGTTCTTTTTTGGTTTGTTTATGTTGGCATTTGAGTTTATGCGAAGAGGTGTAAGTCGTTTAAAACCAGTCAGAGTAAATGCAGCCCTTACATGAACCTATGATAGCAAATTCAGTCCACTGGTCACTTAACCGGTGGAACTAACTGTACAGCATTTTCACATACACGAATCACATTACAGAAGGAGGAAGGGGAAAGGAGGAACAGATGAAAAGGCAAAGCTAAACTGTGCTGATAAAAAGAACAGAACAAGACATTTTAGCCCGCCCTTGCCACTTTTTATTTTGTAGTTGCTCAAGGGCATAGAGCATTTTCTGAATTTCACTGTATTGATAAGTGCAGACCATTGTTCCTTTTCCTTAATGATAATCATCCTTTTTGATGAATCAAACAAGAACTGAGTTTCCTGTTTTTACTTTGTTCACTCATCATTAATCCAGCTGTTAAGTAGGAATAAGGATGATTATTAAGCTTATACTTAGCAAAAGAATTGCTCAAAGACTCAAAAAGTTGACAGAAAATTTGCATAGACTCCTAATGGTGTACAGATGATTGAAGTCTTAACATCCTTGCAAGCTTTGGATTATTTCAGATCTCTAACGGGGTAAGAGGTTACCAAGCAAGTGAAACTGTGCTCACCTCTTCTGTTTCTTGGTATATATAACTTAAACTCAATTAAAAGCTGAGAAGCCACATTACAGGCAACCAACAAAATATTAACAGGAAGCTATATATATACTGTTGGACAAAACCTGTTTATTTTCTCCTAAAAGTGGAGTCTCTCAGCCAATTAACAAAGTAATAGTAGTTAAATGGTCAAACAAAAAGCAAAAACATTGAATCATCTATATTTATGGATCTTCACATGCATATATTTGAAGAATCAAGAGTTCAAGGAACAAACCAACAACCAAACCTTAAACTAGGAGAGAATATTGAAACAGAAGTAGTTAACTAATATAGTACTTGTGGTGGCGAAAACTAGCAGATACTCGATAAAATAATTCATGTGTAACAACAACAATAACATACTTAATGTAATCCCAGGATATGTGTAACAACAATAATAACATACTTAATGTAAATCTCAAATGTGGGGTCTAGAGAGAGTAGTGTGTACACCTACCTTGACAGATGGAGAGGATGTTTCCAATAGATCCTCGCCTCAAAGTGAAGCAGAATAAAACAATTTGGTATAAGAAATAACGAATGTGACGAAGCAAAAATTACTACTATATGCTTTTTTAAAATAATACAACAAACAAAGTACATGAAATAAACAATAGAAAGACAAGAATATACAAAATAATACAAGAAACAACAAATAATAAACCACAAGACGGACAAGGAAACTACAAAAGTAATACTGCAACTACTAGTATGAAAGGATAAGTATAACAACACGCTCGATAAAATCATCGTAAAATAAAAAGACAAAAAATAACTAACACATATAAAGGGAAGAATGGAAGAAACTTGCCTTGCTTGATTTAACTTATTCAATTGGAGAAGTAAAGAGATTTTCCAACATGCATCATGAGCTCATGGTTTTTTTAGTGTGTGAAGTATAGCTAAAAGATGAAAAAGGGTAACAGAAAATGAATGAAAGAGTATAAATAAAGATGCTAAAATTGGCATCTAAATTATACCCACAATAATAATAATAATAACAATAAGGTGGCAGATGGGCCAATAGTGAGTAATATACCACTGGAATATTCTTATACACACAATCTTATTTTTATTATTTAATATTTAATATGTTTTTTTAAAGCATTAAATTTAATAAATTACAAAATAATATAGTAACATTATCTATCATGCTATTTCTTGTCAAGTTTATAATAAAAAATTATCATAATTTCATTTATTCAAGTTTATCGATTAAAAACACACGCAACCAATTTTTTTACATTATCTTTTCCTTCTTTTTAATACCTAATATTTAAATTAATTGTCTTAATATAGACAAATTACGCAACGTTATTCTAATTTAATACTAATAAGATACCTTTCAAGTTTCAATAGACATTCGTGGCCTTTTAATCTTTTTCTTAAATTTATGCTCTTTAATTTTTTATTTTTCGCCACCCTCTCTTCAATAAATAAAAAGTGATTAATAATATTTTTAAATTTGAAAAAAAAATAAAAAAAAGTTGCAAAGCATAAGTTATATCTTACTAGGAAAAAAGTTTCATTTCAATATTAGAAAGTCATGACTCTTATAAGAGGACTAAACTTTTGTTTAAATTTTTTTGTAAATAGCAAGACACATTATGTGTTATAAGACATAAGTTTAATTCCACAATTCACAAAATTATGTTGCTTAATTTTCTACACTTTCACCTTACAGAGCAGATACTACATAACTTATCTAAAAATAATTTTTGTGAAATCCGGTTATAATAAAGATATTTTGATTCATAAGTTTTCATTAAATGATAAGCATATATATATAAATAAAAAAAAATAGGAAAATCAATTCGAGGGGTAAAAATTAAAAATCATGATAATTCTAAAGGCAAAGGCATTGTCCATTCAATACTCAATATTTATACGGGGACTTAGCTGAACTCAAATTCACATACTTTCTATGTTCTTATTTATTTGTCTATTTTTTATTTGACATATCTATTAAGAAAATAATAATTAATATAATAAGTTTTTATTTTATTTTTAAAAATTAATTAATTAAAAATATAATTAAAAAATTGTCTTTTTTTGATAAGTTAAAATGGATAAGTATAAAAGAAAAATTAGATAAGTAAAAAGGGACCGAATGAGTAGTATATTAAAGGGCAACTTTCACATATAGCAAATAAAAAATTCATATTTGTATGCTATAGCAAAGTTTGCATAATTGTGCTCCATAGCAAACATAGAAACTGTATAATTTGCTATACATATACAGTTAAAGCAAATTGTATAAAACGAAGTGTATAAAACAAAAAAGAGAAAGACACTTGGGCAGAGAACTGTATAAAAATGAAGTGTATAAAACGAATTGTATACAATTTGTTATTGTATAAAATGATAAAGAGAGAAAGACAAAAGAGACTTGACAAGGAATATACAATTGAATCGAATTGTATAAAATGAGAAAGAGAGAAATTAGATACAATTTGAAAAGTGTATAAAACGAGAAAGAGAGAAAGACAAAAGAAAATGGGCAGGGGAGTATTTTATTGTATAATTATAACTTATAAGTGTATAGGACGAAAATATATGTACTTGAATGTGTATATACAATTTTTTCGCGTTTTATACAAATAGAAACACAATTTATACATTTTGCTTCTGTTTGTGTAAGTGAGAAAAGTGAGGGTGACGAGCTAGATTTGGAAGAGTGACGAGCAAGATTTGAAAGAGGAGAGAGAGGGAAACAAAAATATATGTATTTATACAATTCTCTGCTTTATACAATAAGAAACAATTTTTATACACTTGTGTTTGTATAAAAAGTGAAAAAGCGAGCGAGAGATTGGAGGAGAGTGGCGAGCGAGATATTTGGGAGAGAGGCGCTTGACAATTTTTGCAAACGTTTGTAATGGAGCACAATTAAATCAAACTTTAGCTACTCCATTTATTTTAGATTATTAGTTTGCTATTATATACAATTTTCTCTAAACGGCCTATTTCTGATTCACACTAATAAGGATACCCACTTACTCTTTTGCGGGTCGGGTTTATAGATTTTGGTACTTTTTCACTAAAACCCAAAATTCAAAAACCCTAATAATCAACCAATAATTTCAACTGCTGTACAGCAACTGAAGGAATGGATGGTGTGGCGTCTCCATGGGACTTCAACTGGTAATTTTCTCTTCATCTTACAACTAAGAAATCCATATTATATCAAGAAAATTATTTTGTATTTATGTTATGTGAACAAATGTATATTAAAAAGATTAATTTATGCTCTTGCAAATTTTTTTTCTTGGTTTTAATCATTCATTTCAACATACCAATATGGTTTTACATGGTTCCTTATCAAAAAGACTTCTCCTTTTTAATGTTTTCTTCTTCTTTTTGATGGTTTAAGGGGTAGATGAGGGGGTTAGCTGGTTTTTTAAGTATTGGGTCATAGTAGAGCTTTCTCTGTTTATTTTTAATGTATTGTACATTGAGACACTTGTAGAGAAGCTTGACACTGAGCTAGGAATGAACTTGTGGTGTCGAGACTCTGCGTAAATTGAATGTTAGGTATTAGCTTTGTTGGTGGAGAGCATATGGAAAGTTTCATACTGAATTGTGCGAGCAGAAATTTCAATTTCAGGGACATGTTGTGTGTAATTGTCCCTAATTTGTCTAATCTCTTCTTGATGCAAACCTATCTTCGTATCTTCGTTTACTTAATGTATTCTATTGTTGCTTGTCCGCTTTGTCTTGTGTGAACTATACATCTCCATCTACTGTTCCATTTGGCAATGAAATGGGACTTCATGCATTTTTTAAAATCAAGAATCGGAACTGAAGAACAGAGTAGCAAATTTGTGACATCTAGACACTAGCAATAATGAGTTACACTCTGTGTTAATGTATTTGTGATTTGTATTCCTTGGCGAAGGAGTGAATTTTATGAGGTATACTTTATGCAGCAACTTGGAAGTAGATCTTGGGTCTGAAGAAAATGCTCATATTGTCTATACTGCATTGGCTGTTGATAAGGAGGTATAGTGATACTGAGGTTTTTTATTCATTTGTAGCATCTGTTTCGATCCACCAGTGCTCCAATGTTTGTACAATTAAAATTGCAGTTGCAGCCTGATAAAGTGAAGAGGCATATGTCTGTATCTAACGGGAAGCTTTCAGTGTGAGCACATGCTTCTTCTACTCAATTGAATTTATTGAAACCAGTTGATTTTTGAACTTCCAACTGTAGTTAGGAGTTATTGTTGTCAATATTTTCTTATACGTTCAGGATATATATATGTATACGTGTGTGTGTATGTGTGTCTGATGGTAATTTATGGATATCTTCATACTTCATCAAAATTTATACATATCTTCATGTTGTATTTGCTGAAAAAGCACCCAAAAGTACAAGTTCTTAAGAACATAATTGTAATGTGCTAGTTGCTTCATTTTTACTCCTATCATCTATAGAAATCAAGCACTGATATTGCGCTATAGTTTTGATGATACAAACAATGTTTTGTTTGCGTGCCTGAGCCATAAATTGACAGGCAACAGATGTAGTAATGTAAGTGTTCTTTGTGAACTCTTCCTTGTTTGCTGAAATATACTTGGCACCAGTCAGTTGTCTTTATAGCAAATTTCCTAGTCAAAGCAAACCTTGTTCAAAGTGACGCTTCTTCCTCCCCCAGCTTTCTGATTAGCAATGAAGAATGTCACTCGTCTTTACCAAAAATTTCTGAATGCTGAGTGTTCAAGTTATTATACTTGCTATTTCTGCATCATTCAGCTCTCTGAACTGTTCCTAATGTTTTTACAGGAATTTTGAGGCTGTTGAAGCAAGATTTCTTCGTGCATCATTTAGTGCATTTGTAGATGTACTCACACTCACAACAAAAACCATTGAAGAATTTGGTTCAAAGAAGGAATAGAGACCTCTATTGGATATTTTTAGACATTGTTCATTTATTGATGTGCCATATAACAGGAAGCCACTTCTTGTTTGTAATTGACAGTGGTATTCATTGCCAACTGATAATTTAACTTCGGATTATATTCATCTTTATAATTGATATCATGTAATCTAGAACTACAAGAAGCACTAAACAAATATGATAAAAAGCTATAAACTGATCTTCATATAATAAAAAAGCTATAAACTACTGATATATATAACCTTTGACGTGCAGCAAAGTATCAGATGATATTCTCATTCCTTATGCTTCAATCATTCCATCAGATTTTCGTCATATATGTTTTGGTGTTTCTAAATGCAAGGGTAAAAGGAAGATCAGGGAACCAGAGACATGTTTTCAGTTTCAACCACAAATAACTCTCATAAATTTCAATCCAAATTTCGTCCAAAACGACCTTAAAATCCTTGCTGTATTACTTTATAATCTGTCAAGACCATGTCCAGGACAACTAATCAAGTCTGCCAATACGTTGCCAAAATTTAATATACAATTGAGGAAAGGTAAGCAGTGCACTAATACAAAAAGTATGTCCCTGATTTTCCGTTTAACAACTGGAGAAGCAACAATAAAGCATGTTCCTGGTTTACAGCTGCAAGTGCTACCACATACACCCCTCCTTTAGTCACATTTTTCTTTGGACTTGTTCCTGTTAATATTCATCTATGTATGTATATAGAGTTTCATCTTTCTTTGATTTGCGTCGACTGAGCAACGATTTAAGCAGACGTTTACTTTTGCTGGAATGTTGCTCAGGATCTTTGGTGTTTATATTGTCCACATAAAGTCGCATTGAAGCTGATTTACGAGGCTCTGCAGCGTACTGCTCAAACACAATTTAACAGTTAAAAGAAAATAACTA